CTCTCTGCCCTCCCCCCGTTTGCGTGCACTCTCTCTAAAATAAATAAATAAATCTTTAAAAAGGATAAATGCTGGGGTGCCTGGTGGCTCAGTTGGTTAAGCAGCCAACTCTTGGTTTTGACTCAGGTCATGATCTCAGAGCCCTGCATCAGGCTCCAAGCTCAGTTGGGAATCTGCTTGAGCCTCTCTCTCCCTCTGCCCCTCCCCACTGTGTTCTCTCTCTAAAATAATTTAATTAAATAAAATCCTTTTACTTATTTGACACACACACACAGAGAGAGAGAGAGAGAGAGAGAGAGAAATCACAAGTAGGCAGGCAGAGAGAGAGGAGGAAGCAGGCTCCCCACTGAGCAGAGAGCCTGATGTGGGGCTCGATCCCAGAACCCTGAGATCATGACCTGAGCTGAAGGCAGAGGCTTAACCCACTGTGCCACCCAGGTGCCCCTAAATAAAATCTTTAAAAACGCTAAGTGTTAAAACAGCTACAGAATGTTTTGGAGGACGGAGGGACTACAGACTGGTGGAAGAGAGCTCACCACTTCTTACGTGATCCCAGATGTACAGTGAAGACTATGATCCCAAGCTGCCTTCTCTGATCCTGAACTTCACAATGTTTTCCTGTATTATTTCCCTTTCGGTAGTTTTTGAAGTCTAGGATTCAAAGAAATCACTTAACCGGGTGTTTAAGACATGTGTTCTTTATCCAGAGGACGAGACGTAGACTTTTGTACTTTTAATAAATTTGCTAGGTAAACATGATGCTTGCCAAAGTGCGAGAATCACACTAGAGAAAGAATACTCTTTCTCTAATATCCTTTCTCACTTTCCTAGACAAAAATCTTATTTTCAGGGTTATTGTCCAATTCGTGGATTACAAATCCATACGTGAGAGCTGTCTGTGCCAGTCACGTTTCATTGACATCACTGAAAGTTTAATGATCGTGCTTATAGTATAGAAATTTCCTTCCAGGGACGCCTGGGTGGCTCAGTGGGTTAAGGCCTCTGCCTTCGGCTCAGGTCACGATCCCAAAGTTCTGGGATCAAGCCCCACATCGGGCTCTCTGCTCAATGGGGAGACTGTTTCCCTTCCTCACTCTCTGCCTGCCTCCCTGCCTACTTGTGATATCTGTCAAATAAATAAATAAAATCTTTTTTAAAATTAAAAAAAAAAAGAAAAGCAATTTCCTTCCTTCCACGAGTGCCTGGTTGGTGCAGTGGAACGTGCAACTCTTGTTGGTTTCAGCTCAGGTCGTGATCTCAAGCTCATGATCTCAGAGTCATGGAGTCGAGCCCCATTTTGGGCTCCATGCTGAGTGTAGAATCAACCTGGGATTTCCTCTCCCTCTGTTTCTTCCCCCTGTGCTCTCTGCTCTTTCTTGTTCTAAAAATAAATAAATCTTAAAAAAAAAAATTTATCTTTCTTCCAAAGTAGTAAATCAAATAAGAGTTTTTTTGTTCTTTCATTTTTCACACTCGGAGTCTAGAATATTTATGAACATTACTCATCCCAACATAAAACAATGGAACAACTTTGGGCGCCTGGGTGGCTCAGTGGGTTAAAGCCTCTGCCTTCGGCTCAGGTCATGATCCTGGGGTCCTGGGATAGAGCCCTGCATTGTGCTCTCTGCTCAGTAGGGAGCCTGCTTCCCCCTCTCTCTCCCTCTACCTGCTTCTCTGCCTACTTGTGATCTCTGTCTGTCAAATAAAATCTTTAAACAGGGGCACCTGGGTGGCTCAGTGGGTTAAAGCCTCTGCCTTCGGCTCAGGTCATGATCTCGGGGTCCAGGGATCGAGCCCCACGTCGGACTCTCTGCTGAGCAGGGAGCCTGTTTCCTCCTCTCTCTCTCTCTCTGCCTGCCTCTCTGCCTGCTTGTGATTTCTCTCTCTGTGTGTCAAATAAATAAAAATCTTTAAAAAAAAATTAAAAAAAAAATAAAAAAAAATAAAATCTTTAAACAAACAAACAAACAAACAAAAACAATGGAACAACTTTTAAGCTATGAGCGTAAATGTTCCTGTTTCAGAGAGAATTAGGAATATAAAAGCTGTATACAGAGCATAAGGAAAATCAGAAGACATTTCAGCACCAAGCAAAAAATGCCTTTTGCTGGTCAATACACAAAACTTAGTCTTTATCTGATAATTCTTACTTGAGAAAAAGCTTATGAACATTTAATTTTTTTAAGATTTTATTTATTTGACAGAGATAGCACAAGCAGGCAGAGCAACAGGCAGAGGGAGAGGGGGAAGCAGGCTCCCCACTGGGCAGGGAACCCGTTGTGGGGCTTGATCCCAGGATCCTGGAATCATGACCTAAGCCGAAGGCAGACACTCAACTGATTAAGCCACCCAGACACCCCACTTATGAACATTTTATTTCATTTTATTTTTTTAAAGGTTTTTACTTATTTGACAGAGATCACAAGTAGGCAGAGAGGCAGGCAGAGAGAGAGAGGAGGAAGCAGGCTCCCTGCTGAGCAGAGAGCCCGATGTAGGGCTCGATCCCAGGACACTGGGATCATGACCTGAGCCGAAGGCAGAGGCTTCAACCACTGAGCCACCCAGGCGCCCCTTATGAACATTTTAGATCTGAAAAAACCTTTAGTGATTTTTTTTTTTTAAAGAGTTTGTTTATTGGGGCACCTGGGTGGCTCAGTGGGTTAAGGCCTCTGCCTTCGGCTCGGGTCATGATCTCAGGGTCCTGGGATCGAGCCCCACATGGGGCTCTCTGCTCGGCGGGGAGCCTGCTTCCTCCTCTCTCTCTCTGCCTGCTTGTGATTTCTGTCAAATAAATAAATAAAATCTTTAAAACAAAAAAAAATAGTTTGTTTATTTATTTGACAGAGAGAAATCACAAATAGAGAGGCAGGCAGAGAGAGAGAGAGAGAGAGAGGGAAGCAGCCTCCCTGCTGAGCAGAGAGCCCGACGAGGGACTTGATCCCAGGACCCCGAGATCATGACCTGAGCCGAAGGCAGCGGCTTAACCCACTGAGCCACCCAGGCGCCAACCTTTAGTGATTTCTAACCCAGTATCAGAAAATTCGAGCTGGAATCAAGCTCTACGAAGATAATTCCCATATGTACAGAATAGATAGTATTCAACACGAGATAGCTCATAAGGTAGAAAACCTCTCTAAATGCAATGAATATTGACAGGCCTTTAACTGCCATTCACCCCTTATCAAATGACAGGATATTTAGGCTAAGTATAGAGCTTCTAACTATACGCAATGTGGGAAGAATTTTAGTTATTGCTCAAGCCATATTAAACATCAGAGAATTCATACTGAAGAATTCACATTCTATGAACCTAATTAAGTCTTTAGATACCATTAAGATTTCATTACACATCAGAGACTTCTAGACCAAGATCCAACTTTACCCAAAATAAACCGAGAGAACAGGTCCCACTCCCACTGTGAAGTGTGATTAACTAGATACGGGGGTATTAACTAAATCGCCTACTTAAATGAGAGGGGCACTTGGCATGAGCACTGGGTGTTGGATGTGAATGATCAGGCACGAGATTCTACACCTGAAACTAATGTTACGTTGTATGTAAACCAGCTGTTATTTGAATAAAAACGTGAAAAAAAATTGCGTACTTGAAAAAAGCCTTCTCTTTTAAAACACACTCAACAGTTTGATCCAATTCACTCAGGAAATCTACTACTTCATCAAGAAATTAGTACCAAAGTAAGTCGGGTGGAAAGTGACTACACACTTAAGTGTCCATCTTATTTTATTTATTTATGTGAGAGAGAGCGAGAGGGAGCACGAGAGTGGAGTGAGCGGCAGAGGGAGAAGCCATCTCCCCACCGAGCAGGGAGCCCCACGTGGGGCTACATCTGGGGACTCCGGGATCAGGACCTGAGCCAAAGGAGATGCTTAACTTACTGAGCCGCCCCGGCGCCCGGAAACTGTCATTTTTAAGTCAAACCATGAGCAAACTGCGTCCAGGTGTGGACTCGTCCCAAAGACGGAGCCACAAAGAACAATATTAAGGATAAGCAGGCTGCGGAGCATCAGGTTTTCCATGCAGCAGCGTCCATCAGCCATCGAAACTGGAACCGGAGCGGGCCTGGCGTGAACCGCACCCTACGGCCCGCGGCACAGGCGACCTTGCTCTGGGGGTCTGGGGAAGCCGCCGGCCACCTCGCGCAGTCTGAGCTCCCGGGCATCTGCCGAGAATCCTCCGGCCAGCGCGGTTCTCGGGTTCTGCAATGACGGGGCCTTCGACCACCACCAGCAGCTGGACGAGCCCGAGTTGTCCGTCGGTAACCACAGCGGCCGCGGCCAGGAGCCCGCAGGGCAGGCCGCGGCGAGCCCGGGAAACGGCGTCTGGAGGAGAAGGTGTACCCGGAGCGGAGGACCGCAGGCGCGTGTGTCGGAGCGACCTCCCGGGAGGGGTTCCTCCCCGTCGGATAAAAACTGCTAGCAAGAGTTTATATTTTGTTTTTAAAAACTGGCTCATCGCGTTGTTTTCTGCTATTCGGTCCCCCAACTTCTGCTTTTAGACTCATGATTTCCTCCTCTTTCCACAATGACACGTTCTCCCCAAATGCCTCACTTCATTTTCATTCCGTCTGTCAGTGCTGTTAGTTGGATGTTCCAAAACTTACCGAAACCATTCGCACATGACTTCGACCCAGCATGGAGAATGGGCCAGACACAGAGCTTCCCCCTGCAGACCCACCTACACTCACTCGCACGCACGATCCCGGCTGCGCACCCCGCGTGCCCGGGAGCCCCGACGCAGGAAGCCCCGGGCCGCACGGAGAGCTTGCCACCCGGAAACCGCCGACCTGCCGTCCGAAGAGGCCCGCCGCAGAGCCCTCTGGGAGATGTAGTTCGGCCGAGCCCTTCCGCCGTCGGCCGCGTGAATCCCGCCGCGCGGGCCTGAGCCGAAGGGTGTGTGCGGCGGGGGCGGGGGCGGGGGCGGGGGCGGGGCGGCGAGGCTGCGGGGCTGGTGTGACCTCGGTGTCCGTGCGGGCCCCGCGGTAACCCCGGAGCACGCGCCAACTGGCTCCGGAGCCGGGTGCGAGGAGGACCGGGGGTAGGTGGGGGGGACGGTCCCGCGGCGCAGGCGCCGGTTCCCGGCGGGGCGGGGCGTGGGGGCGGCGCGGTCTGGGGACAGCGTTTAGGGGGCTGGGGGTGCGTAGGGACGGGGCGAGTGTAGGGGGCCGTTTGCGGCCGCTGTGATGAGGACACCGAGGGAGGTCTGGAGCAGGGGGCACCGGAGGGCCCAAACACTGGGGGGTGTGTGGTAAGTCAGTGTGGGCTGGGGCCGGGGCCAGTGGTTGTGAAGCCGGCGGAGGGCGTTAAGTGGTGGGGGAGGCCTCTGGGGTGACTCTGTTGGGAGGCGCTGTGGACGGAGGCCTAGACTGGAGGGGTTGGCCGGGATGGGGGCGCGGGAGCCTCCATGGGCTGCGCTCCGGACTGGGGGAGAGGGTGTGTGCCGTCGGGGATGCGGCTTGAGGGCGGCTTTGCGGGAAGAACAGCGTGCTTGAGGTGCCTTTGCGTTGGCAAGTGGTAAGGCCTTTGTGGGGGGCCTGCTTTGGGGGTGTTTAGAGGGCTCAGGGTTGGTGGACCGAGGATTTCGTTGCCTGGAAGGCATGTTGGTTCCTGACAGTATTGGATTTCACCTGAGCTCTGGGCTTCTGGAGCGCAGGAAGGTTGAGAAGTCTCCCCCCCGCCCCCGTGTGTTCCAGGAAAGAGCGCGCTGCAGAGGACCCTGTAACACATGCCCCCTTGTTGGCTTATGACAAGGCCAGATACCAGTTCTCCAAACTCTCGTCCTGTGCCTCATCAGTGGCCAGCGGACTGGAGTGCCAGCTGATCAGTCAGGACAGAACCCGTGGGCTTGACAGCTGGTCTGGGTGCACGCTGCTGGGTGGCCTGTTGGGGGTTGTGAGTGAGCAGACAGTGGTGTAGGAGTTGGAGGTACCAGCCTATCGGTGTTTATATAGAGCTGGTGGCCCTTTCGGGTGATGATTAGGAGGACTGTAGAGGTGTTAGTGAATGGTGGGTGAGCATGGGGTAGATTAGAAAATAGGGTATCATGGAAGTGAATGGTTGGGGTGGTGTATGATTAAGCTTTGGGAATCCCTTGAATGTAGTGATGGGGGCTAGCAAGGCTGAGGGGCTCTGTGAGAACAGTGACTGGGGCACTTTCAGAGTGAGTGGATGGGCAACTGTAGGAAGGAGGACTTGGGATTCTGTGTTTAGGATTTCACTGACTCCACTTTTAGTCAACGAATAGAATAGACTGTCAAGATTATTGGGTGGGAATGTGGGGGGGGTCTAGTGATGGGTTTCGTGGCATCAGTGTTGAGAAACTTGTGGGAATTGATGATGAGGGGCTGACCTTGGCTGGTGCTTGGGGCTGAGTGAGGAAGAGCCTAGAATGATCAGGAATGGAGGGTCCTGTGGATATCTGATTGGGGTTGAGGCTGTGGCAAGACTTTGGATTTCATTGATAGATGACTCCTGTGTCACTTGGGGGTTGATGATGGGGGTTTTGCTAGAGGAGTCACTGGGGATGTGCATGTGTAAGTGAAGGTCCTAGAGGGACCGCCTGTAAGGTCAGCAGTCAGTCCTGGTGGGATGAGGGGCAAGTGGGGTGAGTGACAGTGGGGCTTGTGGCACTCGGTGGTTGTGAGGTCTGGAGACTTGGGAGGGCTCTTAGTGGTCCGTGAAGGAGGGGCTGGAGAATTCTCAGGTGATCAGTGTGGGTAAGTGGGAGCCTCCGGGGGCTTAAGTTCTGTCCGTGGGCTGGGAGGGAGGGTGTCCAGTCATTCTGTGGGGGCTTATGTGTGATTGAGGCCGTCCCTGGTGATAGGACCTGTGTGAGTTGTATTTGTGGGTTTGGGGGGGTCCTGGTGAGTTTTGGTAGCACACTGGCTCAGGCAACACTTCCACATAGTGACTTCTGTTGAATGACATATTCTTTTTTGTTCTTTGTTTCTTCTCACCCCGCATGTCACATTGTTAATGTGTGACTGCTTCTTTTCCTGGAATATTTCCTTGTTTAAGTGTTCTTGGTGACCCCATTGGCCGTACGGTCCTCCCCCTTGCTGGCTGGCTCAGTCCCCGTGCCCTCCTCCATCCCGGAAGCATCGTAGCTGCGTCTGGCTCCAGCCCTCTGCGTGTAGTGCGCCGTGATGCGCATGGTCTTCCCACAGCCTTCCGCTTCCTTCGCACGGTCTGCACGGGGCAGGCGCTTTGCTGACTGAGCTGCGGAGGGTTCTCGAGCATGTGGTGTTGGGGGCAGCCTTGTCTCATCTCTTTCTAGCCCTCGGCCCAACTTGGGGCGGGTCGTAACTGCCTTGAAGGGGCTGGTTTTCCGGCTGTGCTCTGGTCAGCTGCCCTGGGGCAGAACCCGGCAGTTGGCTAACCTCCAGGCATAATTTTCATTTGCGGCTGACTTTTCTCTATATCCACTGGGACATTGGAGACCCCCTCCCCGTGCGTGAACGAAACAGTGCCTTTGGACAAAAAGCTCTTGCTGTTCATCTTCTACAGGGGCTATACACTCTCTTTGTTCAGCTTATTTTCTGGAAAGGTGCCCACTGTCCTGTCCACCACGTTCAGTCTTCCTCGCTAGCCTGTCAGCCCACGGACACGGTGCTCAGAGGCCGTTCCTGGACCCCAGGTACAGACCACCAGTACTGGACGAATCTCCATCGGCAGGATCACTAGGAGACGTGGAATTTGTCCCTCTTGTCCCCAAGTTGGGTGCTATGATGTTTGGACATTTCTTTTCAGGTATCTTGTTAGGAAGGAAATAACATCTCAGTGCGATTTCACATCTCTGAAGTGCCTGGCTCTCGTCTCCTCTCTGCTGCATGTAAGTGACCTGGTCCATGAGCAGTGAAGGAATTCACGGTGTAAGTATGTGTATGCGTCAAGATGTCGTATTTATTTATTTATTTTTAAAGATTTTATTTTATTTATTAGTTAGAGTGAGAGAGAGAGAGAGAGCACAGGGAGGCCGAGTGGCAGGCAGAGGCAGAGGGAGAAGCAGGCTCCCCGCGGAGCAAGGGACTCGATCCCAGGACACTGGGATCATGACCTGAGCCGAGGGTAGTGGCTTAACCGACTGAGCCACCCAGGCGTCCCGTATTTTTGGTTTATTATACTTAGCTGAAACCTTGGTTTTATTTTTTCCAATAATTCTGCCTAAGATATCATTACATAGCTTGCAGTCTCTTAAAAAGTTCTTAGAATAGCAGTTGTACTCGGTTCTTTGGCCTCTTGGGGAGATAATGAAAATCCAAATCAGCCAACCCAAAAGTCTCTTCACAAAAGTGGAAGAAAAACAAAAACAGTTTTATTGTTGCGTAAAAATTAAACCTGGAACAAGACTGCCCTGAGCTCTGCAGGCAGCGCACTGAAGAGATCACAGAGACAGGGAGAATCTCACTGTTCTCTGTAGCCAGGCCAGCACACCTGTTATGCACACGTTCTCAAGGTAAAGGATAATTTGTTACACGCAGTTCATACTGCATTTTCCCAGTACTTGAGGTGGCCACTGTGTTAGCCTTTTGCCTTTGTCCAAAGGAAAAATCGCCTTCTCATATCTTTGTGATAAGAGGTAGTTTTACACCCCGAGGGGGGCGGGGGCAGGTGCCAAAGTCAGGCACTTGGGTAGGGTCCTGTCCTTCGTGAGATTGGGAAATAGGGGCCGATCCTCCTGGATGACATCAAAGAGATAGCTCCCAGGTCCTTAGGAAAGACATACTGGGTGGTAAACTAGACAAGGCCTATTAGCTTTAGATAAGATTTACACACTTTTCCAAGGGGCAGAGAAAGAATGTACAATTACAAGTTTTCTGAAGTACTTTTTTGAATAGAAGTCACAGGAGTCTCCCTTTCTTGCATGAGAGAGAATTACCTTTTTTTCTTTTCTTTTTTTTTTTAAAGATTTTATTTATTTATTTGACAGAGAGATTGAGAGAGAGCACAAGCAGGCAGAGCAGAAGGCTGAGGGAGAGGGAGAAGCAGACTCCCCACCCAGCAGGGAACCCAATGCAGGACTCGATCCCAGGACCCTGGGGTCATGACCTGAGCCAAAGGCAGAGGCTTAACCCACTGAGCCACCCGGGTGCCCCAAATAAACAAAGAAAATCTTTTTTTTTTTTTTTAAAGATTTTATTTATTTATTTGACAGACAGAGATCACAAGTAGGCAGAGAGGCAGGCAGAGAGAGAGGAAGAAGCAGGCTCCCCGCTGAGCAGAGAGCCCGATGCGGGGCTCGATCCCAGGACCCCGGGATCATGACCTGAGCTGAAAGCAGAGGCTTTAACCCACTGAGCCACCCAGGCGCCCCAAACAAAGAAAATCTTAAAAAAGAAATAGCTTTAGGGGTGCCTGGGTGGCTCAGTGGGTTAACCCTCTGCCTTTGGCTCAGTCATGATCCCAGGGTCCTGGGATCGAGTCCCGCATTGGGCTCCCTGCTGGGTGGGGAGTCTGCTTCTCTCTCTGCCTGCCACTCCCCCTGCTTGTGCTCTCTCACTCACTTTCTCTCAAATAGATAAATAAAGTCTTTAAAAAAAAAAAAACAGTTTTATTTAAAAAAAAAAAAAAAGAAAGGGAAAGAAAGCTGCATTTTACTCTATGGCACCAGTACTAGTAACTTCATGTCATTGCTCCCAGAAAATACTGCTGCACAATGAGTGAGCCGGGGGTCTGTTTGTGGAGAGCATCTTGGTGTGCTAATCCTTCTCTGCGCACGTCCGGCTGCACCGGTGGGGCGAGTGCTTGGAATCTGGCGCTCGCGGGCGGGCGCCTGGGGCTGCAGAGTGCAGGCTGGTGCAGACCCGGCCTGATGCAGGCTTGCCGGGAGCTCCTCTCGCATCTGATTCTTACCCTGCAGCCCTGATTCAAGTTGTTTGATTTCCCAGTAAGAGAGAACCCAGATTAATGACATCATCTAAGATAAAATTCCCACTGCATCTCCAGGCCATGACTGAGGAGCAAGAGAACTCATGTGAAATAAGGAGGAGGAGGCTTCGGGACTAGGGGTGTCCTCTCGGTTTACAGACATTTGACCGGAGGCCTCTCCAGAGCAGCGGGACGGAGAGGAGTTGCAGAACAGAGCCGATTTTCCAAGCCGCAGAAAATGTTCAAGTCCCAGGTGAGTTCTTTGTTCTCCAACAGTCTTCTTCCATAGGCGTGACAAGGCTTATAGGAAAGCTCTTAAATACATTTAAACCATAATCAGAAACATAAGCTTGGGAATGATGGTGTCAGAGAACAAGGTGGATTACGGAATCATACAAAGTCTTCAGTGGAAGCACGGATCTGTAGGTACTTTGTTGCTAGAGGTGAGCCACAGGCTGTCCTCAGACAGTCCCGGAGTGCAGATGGGAAGGGAAGCACAGGTAGTGCTGGTATGTGCTTTCCTCGGACAAAAGGCGGACTAGCTACTCAGTAGAAGCCGACGTTTGCAGATGATGCCTTACACCGAAGACGTCTGGAGCGTTGTTCATATGGATGATAAGTGGACAAAGTCCTGAACAGTTGCCCTGGGAGGCATAAACCCTGCGGTCGATGAGCTTCCCAGTGCTGTTCCTTACAGAGTTCCTCAGTGTGAACAAAGGGCTTGAATCTGAAGTAAAATTCAGAACTCAGCGTTCGATACAGGACCGAACCAGTGGGCCTGGACCACCCGTCTTACCTATGTTCTAGCACTAGGAAAGAAAGCCAAGTCACCTGGCAGAACTGATCATTACAAATAACCTTCAAATGGCCCCATAAACATTCACTCAGTTGTAATTTTGATACTTTTTAGGTAGAAGTGTTTTTGCTTCTTTTGGTAAAAGCTGGGCATGGGGGTATCTACCTTTAGGTCTTTTTACTTTTTGACTTAATAGAGTGTCACGATGATTGGGGCACACACATCAGCGCGATCCCAGAGGACACATGGTTCTCCTGGAAACAGAAGTTATAGAGGGGACCCCCAGCAGGGCCTGCTTTAGTCCAAGTTAGGTTAACACGGCCCCCAGTGTGGGTGCTTCTGCCCTGCGGTTTTTAGTCCGTCTGGGTAATGTGGTTTTAGAGGGACTGCTGGGAGCATTTCCTTCCAAATCATTTTGTCCACGACCGCAGGTCATCAGTCCACACTTCGTTAGATGTGGGCGGCATCTGGGCATGTTTGGCCTGCGGAACGCAGGAGCGCGGTCTGTCCTCGCCGTCTCCCGGTCACGTCTTTGTTGGTTCAGCCATCGGTCTACTCGAGAGTCTCCGAAAGGCAGCCCTGAGAGTTGTTTCTTTTGGTTTTTGTTCTCTCCAGTAGGAGGAGAAAGCTTTCAGGAGCAAGTCCAAAAAGCAAAGGCCGTCCGTGACCTTCTCCAGCACCATGCTTCCCTGGGTGCTTAAGATTTTATTTGACAGAGAGATCACAAGTAGGCAGAGAGGCAGGCAGAGAGAGGAAGGGAAGCAGGCTCCCCGCTGAGCAGAGAGCCTGTTGTGGGGCTTGATCCCAGGACCCTGAGATCATGACCTGAGCCGAAGGCAGAGTCTTTAACCCACTGAGCCACCCAGGCACCCCGGTGCTGGGTTTATTTTGCTTTTGTTTTTCTGTTGTTAGTATCAGCGTGTCCCATTTAGTAATCAAAACGTTTAAAAGTTCATCTGTTTTCATCTAGACCCTTTGTCTGGAAAGATTAGATGCAAGAAGAACAAATATTACATAACTTAACCAGAAAGATGCATCACGTTTAAGAATTGGCTGGCTGGGGCACCTGGGGGGCCTCTTAAAAAATCTTAAAAAAATCTTAAAAATCTTTAAAAAAAATCTTACCTTAATAAATCTTAAAAAAAAAAAAATCAAGCTTATTAGGAGCAGAACTTACTCATGTCATCCTGCAGGAGGGTTCCTTTAACTGCCAGTCTGGGGCTCTCCTCGGGCACAAGCTAGACCCCACGAGGGAGGTTCAATCTTCCGTATATTCACTGTCACGGCCCTGGCTGTGGCCGCTGCTGTCTGGGCTTGGGGGCGAAGGCTGGCCAGGGTGTACATGGGCGGTAAGTCAGCACCAATAGCACATTCAGTAGTGAGGACCCGAATACTAGTTCCCACTGATGGTGCCACGTCCGTGTGGGAGGGCAGCTTCCCCTGGGAGGCCGGTCAGGTAAAGCCTTCGGTTTGCCTGTGGTTGGGCCTGAAAAGTCTCAGCATTTAGCCAGGAGCCTGACTCCTCCTGAGTTTCCAGACGTGTGTAAATTCATGTCATCAGCATCACAGTCAGGACTTGGAACAGGTCCAGGTCTCCAGAGACATTCCCCGAGTCTCGCCTTCATGTGTCCCTTCGAATTGCTGATTCGTATCTTTGGGTAAATACTCAGTTAGTGGTGATTGCTGGGTGGTAGGGTAGCTCTATTTTCAACTTTCTGAGGAACCTCCACACTGGTTTCCAGAGTGGCCGCACCAGCTTGCATTCCCACCAGCAGTGTAGGAGGCTCCCCTTTCTCCCGTCCTCGTCAACACCTGTCATTCCTGACTTGTTCATCTTAGCCATGCTGACTGGTGTGAGGTGGGATCTCACTGCGGCTCTGATTTGTATTTCCCTGATGATGAGGGACATCGAGATACTCTCATGAGTCTGTTGGCCATGTTGTGTTTGAAGAAATGTCTGTTCATGTCTTCTGCTCACTTTTAAATTAGATTATGTGTTTTCTGGGTGGTGTGTCAGCTCTTTGTAGATTTGAGACACTGAGCCTTTGTCAGCTCTGTCACTCGCAAACATCTCCCGTTCCCTTGGTTGTCTTTTAGTTTGGGTGATTGTCTCCTTCGCTTTGCAGAAGCTTTTATTTTTATGATGTCCTAATAGTTTATTTTTTGCTTATATTTTCCTCCAAGAAATGCCCACTTTTTAGAAAGATTTTATTTATTTATTTATTTATTTATTTGAGAGAGAGAATGAGAGTGAGTGAGCATGAGAGGGGAAGGTCAGAGGGAGAAGCAGACCCTCTGCCGAGCAGGAGGCCCGATGCGGGACTCAGTCCCGGGACTCCAGGGCCACGACCTGAGCCGAAGGCAGTCGCCCAACCAACTGAGCCACCCACGTGCCCTAGGAATGTCCATTTTTTAATTGTATTTTTTTTTGTTGTTGTTGAGTGTCAAGAATTCTTTATTCTGGATACAGGTGTTCTGTCAGCTCAGTGATTTTCAAATATTTTCTCGTAGTCTGTGCCTTTTTTTTTTTCTTAAAGTGTCTTTCACATAGAAAAATGATTTTGAAAAAGCCCATTTCATTGATTTTTTTAAAAAGAGTTTATTTATTTATTTGACAGACAGAGATCACAAGTAGGCAGAGAGGCAGGCAGAGAGAGAGGAGGAAGCAGGCGCCCCGCTGAGCAGAGAGCCCGATGCGGGGCTCGATCCCAGGACCCTGACACCATGACCTGAGCCGAAGGCAGAGGCTTTAACCCACTGAGCCACCCAGGCGCCCCTGATTTTTTTTTTTTAAGTTGACCATGTGTTCAGTGTCGTACCTAAAAATTTACTGGCAAATCCGGCATCATGCAGGTTTTTTCCAGAGCTTTATACTTTTATGTTTTCCCTTTAGGCCTGTGATCCATTTTGAATTAATTTTTATATAAGCTGTGAGGTCTGTGTTGAGGTTTATTCTTTTGCTTATGGGTATGCCATTGTTCTAGCATCGTTTTTCAAAAACACTCTTTGTGGAACCCTTCTGTCACAGTTAGTTGAGCGTTCTTGGGGGGTGTGACTGTAAGCTGTCCCGTTCGCTTGTCTGTGTACCTATCGCTTGCCTAACAGTAGGTTGTCCTGACTGTTGTGGCTTTATAGGAGGTCGTGAGGTCAAGTAGGGGGAGTCCCACAACGTTCTTTGTCCACACTGGTTTCACCTTGTAGCTCCTTTGCCTTTTGTCCCAAAACCCTCTGCATACTTGTTTTATGGCCTCTGTAACACCTTCTTTCCTGGCCTGAAAAGACTGGAAAGTTTTAAAAGCGTGCTTTTTATTACCCGTCTCCATATTTTGGCACTGTTTGCGGTTCAGGGAGCTCCAGCTGCTCCCTGTATGTGTTCCAGAAGATACGGGGAGGACCAGCTAGTTGTTAGCACGTGGGTGCGGACGCGGAGGGAGGAGCGTGTTGGAGATGGGGATGTTGTCAACATTGGTGTTGGCAGTAGCCGTAAAACAGGACTGTCACTTAGCAGGTGGGCACCAAGTGTGCTGGAGGTCTGATGCTGCATGGGACTTGGCTAAGAATTGTCCCCACATACCAGTGGCACCTTCTTTGGGAAGCACTGTGCTTATTTAAACACAGCGTATTCCAATTTCTTTTCTTTTCTTTTTTTTTTTTTTAAAGATTTTTTATTTATTTATTTTTCAGAGAGAGAAAGCACTATAGGGGGAGGGGCAGGCAGAGAGAGAAGCAGGCTCCCCACTGAGCAAGGAGCCCCATGCGGCATTTGATCCTACAACCCTGGGATCGTGACCTGAGCCCAAGGTAGACACAGAGAGAGTGAGCCCAGAGAGAGTGAGAACACAGGCAAGGGGAGCGGCAGGCAGAGAGAGAAGCAGGCTCCATGCCGAGCAAGGGGCCTTGATGCGGGCGTCCCCTATCCAGTTTCTTAATGGATCGGTGTGTGGGTAGATGAGTGAATTCAAAATGAAAAATGGCTCGATGACATTATTGTTTCTCTCAAAGTATAACGCAAGGTTAGGATATCATATGTGTTACCAATTGCTGTGTAACAGTCACCCAAACCTCAGTGGCTAATAGCACAATGTCTCCCACAGCTTCTCTGGGTTAGAAGTCTGCCAGCCGGGGCACCTGGGTGGCTCAGTGGGTTGAAGCCTCTGCCTTCGGCTCAGGTCATGATCCCAGGGTCCTGGGATCAAGCCCTGCATCAGGCTCTCTGGTCAGCAGGGAGCCTGCTTCCTCCTCTCTTTCTGCCTGCTGCTCTGCCTAGTTGTGATCTCTGTCTGTCAAATAAATAAATAAAATCTTTAAAAAAAAAAAAAAAGTCTGCCAGCCGAGCGTACATCTGGTTCCCTTACAGGGTGCAGTAGGGCAGTGAGCCCCTTCTAGGCTCAGTCACGTGGGAGTTGGTAGCCTCGGTGCCTTGCCACAGGCAGCTGGAACCCCCCACCCCCAGAGAGAGCAAGTCAGGGCTCCCTAGAGGGAGTGAGTCAGTAAGGGCAGCAGCACCTGTTCTGGAGGGGAGCGGGACACCAAATGGGACACGAGGAGTTCGAGATGGGCGGGGCTGCCTCCCTCGCTGGAGAAGAAGGCCTGTGTCCCACCAGGAGCCCCTCTGCGGATCTAACCGTGATGACGTTTTCCAGATCTCGTTTGAGGATGTGGCTGTGGACTTCACCTCGGAGGAGTGGCAGCTCCTTAATCCTACTCAAAAGAGCTTGTACAGAGACGTGATGTTGGAGAACTACAGCAATCTGGTTTTCTTGGGTAAGCGTGTTTGTGTATAAACCGTGTGTATCCAGTAACTGGGGGGGCTCTCAGGTTTACTGACTTGGGGGTTAAGTTTCCGATGTCACAATCGGTGCATGGGTGGTTCAGTGGTAGAATTCTCGCCTGCCGATGTCACAGATTCTGATTTCTGTGCCCACCTGACAGATTTTGGGCCGCTCGCTTTCTTATAGCCTCCATAGTAAATCTCCTCTGTGTGGAAGAGTCTGTCAGCCCGAGGAGTCGGGTCCAAGTTGTCCGTGTTTCCAACTGACAGGTTATCAAATTATCAGACCTGATGCGGTTTTCAAGCCAGAGCCGGAAGAGCCGTGGGTCATAGAAGCAGCCCCGCGTCGGACCTCGGCAGGTGAGGGGCACCCGGGTGCGTGGCGTCCGGTGCCCGCTGCATCACGGCTTTCTGACGAGAGCTGGTGTATGATGTTTTGAAGAGTTATTTGGAAATGTTATTTGTAAAAACTGTTTGAAGTTCCTGCGTCTTTAGAGTTGGCTCAGGCTGGGGACCTGAGTGCTTCCTGCGTTTTAACGAGCGCCCCGGCCCGAACTGCACGGCGGGCTGTGTCCTCCTGCGTGGAGCTGGTGGCGGCACGTTCCCCCCGCCCTGCCGCACGAGCTGGTGGCCGACATGTGGGACCTTGCTTTCCGGGACAAGGGTCCTCTTTCAGCCTCCTCGGCTCCCTTCCTCCTCTCCTGCACCCCCACTCCGCAGGCTGGGCCCTCTGCCTCCTCCTCAGGGCTCCTCACGTCCTGTCACAGGGCGCCCGCTGAGTCCTCTGTTAGTGTTCTTTCCTGCCTCTCGTTTGTCAGATTTCTGTCTTGAACCCAAAGGGAGTAGAAGGGGAATCCGTGCATATCGAGCGAAAACCGAGCACCGGGAGCCTGGTGGGGAGGCCCCGCTCTCTCCCTCGTCCGTGCGGGCGGCTCCGGGGCGCGTTGCGATGCCTCGATGTCCCTCTTCCCCAGGCTCCTCAGTGACCCGCCAAGAGTCTGCTGGGTTTAACCCCGTGGGCTGGGTTGACGTTTTCACGACATTTCTGTGGAAGAACCTCATGGTATGGCAACGTCTTATCCGTTCTTCTTTGTTTTCAATTCCTGTGCCCAGAAGTCAGGGCTGCCTCCCTTAGAACTAGTGTCTTCACATGTTTCATCCATTTTTCTCCGCACGTGAGCCTGTGGTTATCATACCCTTACCACGGAGACCCGGTGCCGCTGCTCAGTCGGAGCCCTCTCTCCCCCCGGCGAGAGCGACTCCCGGCCTCCCGGAGATCTCTGGCCACCAGTGTTGTATTCGAGGAGCCCTGGCCCTGGTCAGGGGTTACCTGGAATTTTTCACCAGTTTTTAACCATTAGGTCGTAACAGTTTTCCCCCCACGTATTAAGATGGCAGGTGACTCGCTCTTCTCTTCTCCCCGTAGCACTTATGGTGTGTGATTATTAAATGTCTCATTAGTGGAGTGTTGTGGGGCCGGGTAAGGCGGGGCTTTTCTTCTTTATATCCGTTAGTGCAACGCTCTTCACCTCCCAGTGTCTCGGCTCACCCTAGGAAATACTTCACATGACTGAGGTCTAGGTACCATTCACAGGGATGATTCGGTCCGGGTATGTGCACCTTAGAAAATACTGTCTGCGAAGGTAGACGTTTGTGTTCACGCATTAGTTTGGCATGACCGCTGTCCCGTGGGACGAAAGGAACCGAGTGAAAGGGTCATGAAGCAGCCTTGCGGGAGCAGAGGTTTTAACGCAGAAGGAAATGGAGAACTATTTATTCCGTCACTCAGTATTTGAACAGAAAGTGTTTGTATTAAAATGCAGAGTTCTTTATGAAGATTCATGATACAGGAAGGAAGCGCGTTAGAAGCGTAGTTGTGAGTGCACAGTGTTCTCCGTGCACTGAGGCCTCACTCCCTGCATGCGCTGGGGTACGTCACTGAAATACAGACCCCTCCCTGCCCTCAGGTCTGCATTCTAGTGGGGGACACAGAAGTAAGGTGATCGCCTGTTTGATAAGTGCTAGAAAGGAAATAAACAGGATATCGTTACGCTCCCTTGAAATGATGTTTACACTTGAATGAGCCCCGTTGAAAGCTGGGAAGAGCCAAAAAGGAGGAGCGGCCGAGCTGTCTGTCGGGGCGCCTGGCGGGCTCCATTGTTAAGCCTCTGCCTTCTGCTCGGGTCATGATCTCAGGGTCCTGGGATCGAGCCCTGCAACGGACCCTTTGCTTGGCGGGAGCCTGCTTTTCCCTCTCCCACTCTGCCAGTTTGTGTTTCCTCTCACTGTCTCTCTCTCTGTCAAATAAATAAAATCTTAAAAAAAAAAAAAAGGAGCAGCCATTGCACAGGTCTGGAGGCAGAAGAGGCCTTTGGGATCAGAGGGATGCGAAGGAGCTCAGTGTGGCTGAGCAGCTGCGAGCGACAGGCGCGAGAGGAAGGCGGAGCAGTTGGAAGAGACCAGTGCATGTTTGCACATTTGAGCCATGGTAAAAGCTTGCATTTATCAGAGGGTTTTGGGTTTTTTTTTTTAAGATTTTATTCATTTGACAGAGAGAGAAAGATCACAGTTGGCAGAGAGGCAGGCAGAGAGGGAGGGAGAAGCACGCTCTCCGCCGAGCAGAGCCCGATGTGGGGCTCCATCTGAGGACCCTGAGATCATGACCTGAGCTGAAGGCAGAGGCTTAACCCACTGAGCCACCCAGGCGCCCTTTAAAGGGTTTTTTTTTAAGCAAGGGGGTAAAAAGCCTGATCACATTTTCTAAAGCTCACTGGCTCTCTGGAAACTAGAATTGAGGGGGAGCAAGGCTGGAAGAAGGAATATTAGTTTGAAAACTAAAGTGAAATGTAGGCAGTGTGGACCAGAGTGGGACAGAAAGAAGTGGGTTCACCCGTGCCTGGCCCTGCGTAATACCTGTAAGCGACACACTCGCTTTCCAGAATGACAAGATTTTTGTTTCCTTTCCTTTTTCTCTTTTCTTTTCTTTTATTTTTTGGAGAGAGAGCAGGGGTGGGGTGCAGAGGAGAGGAAGAGAGGGAGAAACGGAATCCCAAGCAGACTCCCTGCTAAGCACAGAGCCTGACACAGGGTCAGCTCCCAGGACCCCGAGATCATACTCTGAGCTGGAACCAAGAGTCAGACGTTCAACTGACTGAGTCCCCCAGTGCACCAAGATTTTGTAATTCTTTTTTTTTTTTTTTTAAGATTTTATTCATTTATTTGACAGAAATCGCAAGTAGGCAGAGAGGCAGGCAGAGAGAGAAGGAGAAGCAGTTTCCCCACTGAGCAGAGAGCCTGATGCGGGGCTTGATCCCAGGACCCTGAGATCATGACCTGAACCGAAGGCAGAGGCTTAACACGCTGAGCCAGCCAGGTGCCGCAAGATTTTTAAATTCTTAAATATTTTTTGATACAGTTGAACTACTTGAATATTATTTTATGTTATTTATTTATTTATTTTTTTAAGATTTTATTTATTTATTTGGCAGAGATCACAAGTAGACGGAGAGGCAGGCAGAGAGAGAGGAAGGGAAGCAGGCTCCCTGCTGAGCAGAGAGCCCGATGCGGGGCTCGATCCCAGGACCCTGAGATCATGACCTGAGCCGAGGGCAGCGGCTTAACCCACTGAGCCACCCAGGCGCCCTATTTTATGTTATTTATTTACTTGTATGTATATTAATTTTTATTTCTCATTTTGATTTTAATTTAAATTTTTCATTTCTTTTTTTTTTTTTAAGATTTTATTTATTTATTTGACAGACGGAGATCACAAGTAGGCAGAGAGGCACGCAGAGAGAGAGGAGGAAGCAGGCTCCCTGCTGAGCAGAGAGCCCGACGTGGGGCTCGATCCCAGGATCCTCGGATCATGACCTGAGCCGAAGGCAAAGGCTTTAACCCACTGAGCCACCCAGGCGCCCCTAAAATTTTCATTTCTTTACTCAGATTTCATGAAACCATTTTTTATACACTTCAGGGGGACTTCACACTTAAACGTCTGCATATGACTCTTGCTTTTATTTTTATTTTTATTTTTTTAAAGATTTTATTTATTTATTTGACAGACAGAGATCACAAGTAGGCAGAGAGGCAGGCAGAGAGAGAGAAGAGGAAGCAGGCTCCCTGCTAAGCAGAGAGCCCAATGCGGGGCTCGATCCCAGGATCCTGGGATCATGACCTGAGCTGAAGGCAGAGGCTTTAACCCACTGAGCCACGTAGGCGCCCCTGACTCTTGCTTTTATTTATTTTATTTATTTTTTTTTATACTTTATTTATGTATTTGACAGAGATCACAAGTAGGCAGAGAGGCAGGCAGAGAGAGAGGAGGAAGCAGTCTCCCTGCTGAGCAGAGAGCCTGATGCAGGGCTTGATCCCAGGACCCTGGGATCATGACCCGAGCCGAAAGCAGAGGCTTTAACCCACTGAGCCACCCAGGCGCCCTGACTCTTGCTTTTAATCTCCAAGCTTTTTCTCAGTCTTTTTCATCTCAATGAATAGTATTAATATCTCTACTCACTTAAGCTCCAGACACTGAGTCCTTTTATTCTCTATATCAGCAGCTCTAGTTGGTTCTTTTTCTGAAATTCTGAGATGTCTGAGAATTAGGTAAGTCTCCACCCCACACGCGCGCACACACACACAAAATCATGCAGAAAAGAAGTATTTGCCTTATATTTGAGTTCTTGCCAAATCTTTTGACTTGCAGGGTACCTCCTGGGAATATTGGCTCACAATTACTAGTAAAGATTATTGTAAGGTAAACAGACTTTCACTTTAAAATAGCCGATAAATGACCATGTTGTGGAAACCACAAACAGTTGTACTTACTGGGTCCTGAAGAGTCTGTCCTAATGTGTTATGCACAGGCTTCTTGTGGTTTGGAATGATTTGCACAGGTAGGATTACATATAGATTCATTATAGATTACAGATTGAGTTAAAATATAAAAAAAAAACAAATAAAACTGGCTAGCAAGAAGGAGCCTTTATGGGGAAGTCAGTGATAGCTGTGTTTCGGGAGACAGCCTTGAACCAGAATGTTCTTCAGCTGTGACGATCATACAGGAACCTACTGTTTCTTGTCTTTCGAATGACAGCTCGATAGCCTGTATTTGCTCTGTATTCAGTATTTCTGCCTTTGTAGCACTCAGCAGTGTGTGCCAGTCCTTTTCTGTGTGCGGGCTGTTCCTAGCGTTTGCTGCACCTGGAGGCCCCTGGCGCGGGGCGTGCTTACCCATGCTCTTCCCTCGTCTTCCCTCTGGACGTACAGCAGATAATCACATTAGTGATTATAGTCTCTCCAGTGTTTGAGTATAAATTGCTCATGGTCACTGCTCCTTGAGTGGATTTCATCTTTTCTCATTTAAAAATTCATGTTTCTAAGCACTTGTAACTTTTAAATGTTTTCATTTCTGTTTAAACATTTTTTTTTTTTGCTTTTATTTAAATTCCAGTTAGTTAACATATGGTGTCTGTCAGAATTTCTAAAGTCCAGTAAGTAGATATTATATTTGGGGGGGTTTTTGTGTTTTGTTTTGTTTTAATTGGGATCCTAGGCTCATTTCAGTTTTATTCAATGAGTATAATCATTGGGAGATTTACACAGTATGATTCATTTGTTTCCTTTTTAGAAGAAGTCTGGCTAGATAACAGTCTCAAAATGTGGCACCAGGATAATCAAGACAAGCTTAGAAGTGTGGAGAGAGGCCATGAATATGATGTTTTTAGGAAAATATTTCATTCAAGCATTAACTTTGTTCATTTAGCAATGAGACCCCATAAACGTGGCTCAGGTGAAAAAAGTTTGAAACATCCTTTTGAGTTTCTTATTCCAAAAAATAACCGTGGAAGAAAGAAACCTGATGAGCTCAATAAGAAATATTTATTGTATATCAAAGCTGATAGAACCCATGGTGGAGAGCCATACTGTGATTGCAGTAAATGTAGGAAGGCTAGCAGGACAGGGTCATGGCCCCGTGCAAACCGCAGAACACACACAGGAGTCCACTTGTGCGTGGACTGCGGCAACGTTTTCAGTAAGAAGTCACAGCTCATCGTCCACCAGCGGACGCACACGGGAGAGAAGCCCTACGGCTGCAGCAATTGCGGGAAAGCCTTCTCCCAGAAGTCCTTGCTCACTATTCATCAGAGGACGCATTCAGGAGAAAAACCATATGGGTGTGGAGAATGCCAGAAAGCTTTCAGTAGGAAGTCCCTGCTCATTTTACACCAGAGGACGCACACGGGAGAAAAGCCCTATGGCTGCAGCGACTGCGGGAAGGCCTTCAGCAGGAAGTCGCAGCTCAAGAGACATCAGAGAACCCACACGGTGGAGAAGCCCTATGGCTGCAGCGACTGCGGGAAGGCCTTCTCCCAGAAGTTAAAGCTCATTACCCACCAGAGAACTCACACCGGGGAGAAGCCCTATAACTGCAGTGATTGTGGGAAAGCCTTCTTCTGGAAGTCACAGCTGATTACACATCAGAGGACTCACACAGGGAAGAAACCGTATGCCTGTACTGAGTGCACAAAAGCCTTCAGCAGGAACTCACTACTCATCAGGCATCAGAGGATCCACACGGGGGAGAAGCCCTACGAGTGTGGCGAATGTGGCGAAGCCTTCATCAGAAAACCACAGCTCATCAAGCACCAACTGACGCACACGGGAGAGAAGAACTATCAGTGCGGTGACTGTGAGGAGGCGTTCTTTAAGAAGTCAGAGCTACTCCGCCATCAGAAGACTCACTTGGGGGAGAAACCCTATGGATGTGTCGAATGTGGAAAAACCTTCTTTGGGAAGTCCCAGCTCCTAACACATCAGAGAACTCACACTGGCGAGAAGCCGTATGAATGCGGTGAGTGCGGGAAGGCCTTCACCCAGAAGTCCAGCCTGATTTCACACCAGAGGACGCACACAGGGGAGAAGCCCTATGAGTGCACAGAGTGTGGGAAGACCTTCAGTGAGAAGTCAAGCCTCATTCATCACCAGAGAACCCATACTGGAGAGAAACCCTTCGAATGTAGTGAGTGTAGGAAAGCTTTTGCCTGGAAGCCACAGCTTCTTAGGCATCAGAGAATTCATACAGGGGAAAAACCTTATGAATGCAGTGAATGTGGGAAAGCCTTTGTTCAGAAAGTGCAGCTCATTAAGCATCAGAGAAATCACACAGGAGAGAAAACCTACGGGTGCAGTGAGTGTGCAAAAGCCTTCTTTGAGAAGGCACAGCTCATTATCCATCAGAGAATTCACACAGGGGAGAGACCCTATCAATGTGGTGAATGTGGGAAGTCTTTCACTAGAAAGTCTCACCTTATGAGGCATCAGCGAATTCACACGGGAGACAAATATGCTGGGTGTGGTGAGTGTGGGACCGCCTTCAGCAGGAAGTCACAGCTCATGCTTCACCAGAGGACTCACATACTCTAGAAACAGCGTTATGCCGTGAATGTGGGAAATCTGGCGTCTGATGTCGCCTTTTGATGTGTCCAAGGACACACACGCAGGAGCAACCCTGTCAGTGCCCTGGGAAGGCAGGTCTCACCCAATTCAGAGAGGGAATTTGTTTAAGTAGACAGTGTAAGGGAGCCTTCTCCCAGAACACACAGCTTATCACCCATTGATGACTTAACGTGGAAGTCTTAGCAGTATCGTGTAGCAGACCTTGTAGTCAGAAGTGACAGCTCGTTGTTAGAGGACCTACACTCGAGGGGAAACTGGACTGCTGTAAAAACCAAGCAAGAGGTTTCATCAAGAAAGGATAACTCACAGTACACTAGAGGGTATATACACAAAGGAAATGCTGAATCGCCTGAGCTGGAGATTTCCGTGTGGGGGAGAGGGCCTAATGGGAAGAATTTTGATAAGTGTGATCCTATTGAAAGAATCCTATAACGTTGTGTTTGTTGTATATAAGTTATTATGGAAATGGTTATTTTAAAATGGTAGATGTGTTTTAAGTATGAAAACTTCTGCTTTCTGCTGTGTTGGTACGGCAAGAACCAGATTGACTCCCCTGCCTTCAGCAGTTAGAGACTGTAAAATGTATGTGAAAGAATGGTTGAGAGACCTATGGCAAGCAGGTGTCTGTGATCCCCGGCAGAAGGCGGACAGAGTGAGGTGCGCTCCCAGGCTGCCGTTCGGGGAAGGGAACACATGCGGTCTTGTCGAAGAGAGCTGCTGACTTGGCCTTTGGAGAGGCCACAGTAGCTAGAATTTATAGGGAGAGGAGAGGAGAGAGCTTTCTAGAGAGAGGGCTGCAGACACCTACAAGGAGTCCCCTTGAGTCTTTTGGCTTAGCGCTGATTGGCATGTGTGTGAAAGGAAAAGTCGTGCTGGAAAGCAGGAGGCTGAACAGGTCCCAGAAATCAGTGCCAGGCTGGGAGTAAAGTTCCCGCCAGCTAGAGTGGAAACAACTTTGAACACGTGGGGCATCAGGTAGGGTTCCCAGAAGACTATGATCTTGTGAAGGAACTAACCCTAGATTCAGAGCTGCTCTGGACCCACGATGTCTGGTATCCAGAAACTTCCTGATGCGCAAAGAAACTATGAGAATACGACTTGTAGCCAGGACAAAAATGAGCCCATAGAAGAGACATAGAAGAGACTGAAGCAGTTGGCATTGGATAAGGGTGTTTGACTAGCTTTTATGAATATAGAGGAAAACATGAACATGACAAGACCTGAAGTGGAAGGTGTATTTTCAAAACCCCAAGTGGAACTTCTCAGGATGAAAACAGTGGTAATCTGAAAATTAAAAACAAATAACAAACAAACAAAAAACCCCCACACCAACACCAAAAAACCCAACTCTGGATGGAATTAAGAACAGATGAGACACAGAAGAAGAAAAATCGATGAATTTAAGTAAGAATAAAAAAAACTAACTGTCCAACTGATGTACAGAGGTAAAAAGCCTGGGAGAAAAGAGAGGAGGGGTCCATTGTAGTGGGAGCAGGGTCCTAGCAGGAGAGGAGGGGCTGGGGAAGAGAAGTAACAAGGGAGCTGAGTAAGTGACAGCTGAAATTGTTACCCATGGGATGAAAAGTGTCACTGCACATATTCAAGGAGTTCAAAGGACCCCAAACAAGACGCACAAAAAACCCTGTTAACGGACATCATAGTCAGATGGAAGAAGAACAGTTACAAAGCACCTCGGGAGAGACAGGGCGCGCTCACAGAACAGAGTACAACGGCTCGTGGGCAGAGGCTGCTCGGGCTGCGGGGCAATGGAGTGAGTGACGACTTTGGATTACTGAGGGAAAAATAAAGCCCCCGCACCCTGGTATTTGTCTGTTACCCATCAAGAAGACCTCAAAAATGAAAGCAAAAAAAGAGGCTTTTTCAGGAGAACAAAATTAGAGAATTTATTAGCTGTAGGCTTTCCTCCAGGAAAATTTAAGTAAGTCTGGGGGCCACAGGAAAGGAATGCTGGCTGGAAATGTGGATCTACAGGAAGAAACGAAGAGTTCTGGGAGTGCTGAATATGTGGTAAATATAATAGATTTTTTTTCTCGTTTTAAAATGTTTTAAAAGGGTAATCCATTGTTTAAAGCCAAATAGTGACAGTGTGTTGTGGGTTATGATCTATTTAGAAATATATGACAAAAACAACACTTTGGATGAAGTTTCCAAAGTAGTTGAATTGACTACATCCTCCGAGTCCGAAGCCTGCTTCCCCAGGGCTCAGGGTGACTTGGATCCGTAGCAGCTGCGCACGAGTGGCCCATGTGATGGACCGGCATGTGTGCCGGCGCATCCCCGCCCTCCTCTCTCTGCTCTGCACCCCAGGGGCTGTCCCTCTAGGGTTCCTACTGAAGTGTGAACGGGGGAGATGCTAGATCGCCCGTGGGAGGAGAGAGGCTGGACCATTCATTCCCCCCACCGCCTCCCTTTCCTGGACCTTGGTTTTGGCAGAGTCTGTTGCTGTATGGCCCGGCTCCTGCGGGGCGGCCCTCCTTTGGGGCTGTAGACTCTCCCTTCTCCGCTCCCACCTCCCTCTCCTTGCCCTTCACGTGCCTCACCATCCCTGGCGGGCGTCCTTACTTCTGAACTCGTTATCTGTGAATAGTCGCTCAGTTAAATGGGCTTGAGTTAAAATTTGGAGTGCACCAGTTGTTTTCTGTGCCGTGTTAAGGTTGAGCACTTAACAGCGTTTTGAGTGCCAGTTACTGGTGCGTGTGCCTCACAGGGCACAGACTGACATCTGTCAAGATTCCCCACACGAAATGTCAGTGTTTTCTCTCTCTTTTTTTAAACCATTCCACAGAAATTATAACAAGTAACAAAGTGTTTTGTGTTTTGTGTTTTGTTTTGCTGCAAATGCCCATGGCTGCACGGATTGCCATCTGCTACGTGTCCAGTGGTCTCGCACTTAGTACTAACCCTTCTTCAGCAATAGAAGCCAAAACACTTATGAAGTCTTAGAGCTACCTCTGGATTAGCCAAGCAATTTACAGAAACACATTGGCGTTTATGTTCAATATGTATGGACAAGAAAAAAGGATAACCAGGACCTGAGTGAGGTGGAAAGGAATGGTGCCTCACAGATCCCAGTATCTCCTTTAGAAACACTGCTGGGCATACCCTCATTCCATATTCTGCTGCTTCTCTGTATAATTCATGTAATCTGTAACCCATGGACAAGATTTCCATGCCAGTAAGAATTGCCACAGAGGGTCTCTAAAGGCTCCACACCAGGGCCCATCACCAGCACGACAGTCTGGGGAAGTCAGAGTCAGGTTGAAGTGGGCTGCCTTCGAGCCTGGACGCGGCAGCCCCGTCCGTTGTCACTTGTCAGATACCTCTTAGGAAGTTCACCTTTCTTCACCCTCTCTCACCTGGCCCTCTTCTCTTGGTACCTGGGCGGCTTTTGAAGGGAAATAATTGCCCTTAGGCTACACAGCTGCATTTTCTCTCCGGGTGCGCTTGCGTTTCGGTGTGCATTTTGAACTTTTCATGCAGGTCTTCCGTTTTGTGTAACCCTGAAAGACGCCATTCACAATGTAACCTGTGCCAATAAACTTGTGTATTTCTCTGGTCCTGTCGTTAAGGAATTCTCTAGCCAATGAAATCAATGTTTCAAGGTGTGGACATGTTTCGAACATAGCACTGTGACAGTTACCTGTAACGGCTTCTCTGTAACAGGACTGTGTACTCTCTGTGTGATAGCAAAATGGTTTCCACCAGCACAGCTCTCCCCGGGACCCCTGTATTTGTCACTTAGTGAAGGGAAAGGCCACGCTCACTCTCAGCTTAGAAGACTTGATCTCGTGATGTGTGTCTGCAGCTGAGAAGCAGGCCGTGTAACATCTCATGACCAGCTCACAGCATGACAGGTAACTAAGTTACACGGTCCCGCATGTGTGAATCTGGTGATGCTGTCCGGTCATTGTTTATTTCCTTCATGGGGTCTGGGCAGTTGAGATGAGCTGTTGCTCCTTGTAGCCAGGCAGACTTGACATCTCATCGTAGAGATTGTTACTTTGAGAACACGAAGATGAAGTAAACAAGGGACCACCAACTGTATTGAATACCGAAATCACTATGCTTAGGTATTTTACAACACCTACGTCATCAGAAATGCCCAGCAAGGAGAGTATAGCTACAGAAGCAGTCACCGGTAAGGTGAAAGGAGAATACAAACAAAGTGACATTTGTAGTTTGAGGTTCTCATTTAAAGCCTTGCTCTCATTCCTGTCATTAAAATTTATTAACACATCAAGCTCAACTTCACGAGAAGATGGGGAAGCAGATTAACTGCTAGTGTATGGAAGAGAGTGGTCATGTTAATGGAACATGTAAACCATGGACTTGCTATCCCTGTAGCCATCAGCTGGCAGTGTGGGTGTATCTCCAAACCGTGGTATCACAGGCCAGCCCTATGTGGGTGAGCGAGTGTACATACTTCTCTCTGGTGTGTGTTTGCACAGAGCAGAATGTGGGAGGGATGACACCTGAGATCTGGGCCAGCAGTGCTTCACATACAAGGATGAGGCAGACAGCTGACTAAGAAGGTGGGGCTGCTGGTGCGGGTCTCCACTGACTGGTACACCTAGAGAGCAGGGGCGCCCCAGGGAGCTGTGCTAGCTCACACCTATTGCCCACACTTCTCTGTGCTGTATTGGAAAAGAAAGTCTCTGTACCTCTATGTTTACTGAGTAAACTGTTCAACGAATTAGTATGTGTGAGTGTGATCCTTGGTGACCGTGAACTCTAGCTTCTCTTCCGCTGGGTATCCCAAACCAAGTCTGAGCTCTGCCAGCCTCCAACACACTTATCGTCCACATACACCTGAAACGTACGGAGAAAAGCACCTCCCGATTCACTTGGCGGCCAGTGGTCTGCCTGGCCCTTGGTCCACCTGGCTGGGGTCTGGGGTCTGTGCAGAAGAAAAGCGGCCTGCTTTCTTACAGACTAAACTGGAGACTCCCCTAATCCCTTGAAGCCCAAGTGAGTAGAACACGGGCAGTTAGCTCTAACCCCAGCACAACTTGTAAGGAAAGTGGAGGTGGGGTGTGCGCATTCCGGATCGGATATCCCCCACTCGGAATCCCCACTAAACAGACGGGCAGTGTCTGGCCCTGCAGATGGGGGCCCCGACCAACCCCCTTGTCCGGGGCTCTGCCCACAGGAGACGCAGTTGTCCTTGGATCCCTTTCCTGTCCTTTTCTTTTTAAGTAATTTCTGCGCCGGACATGGGGCCTAAATTTACAACCCAGAGATCAAGGAGGTCGGTGAGCTGGGCTACCCGCTGAGCTGGGCAGGTGCCCCAGGTTCCTTCCTGTCTTAATGCCCTCCGCCCCCACCACAGACCCCTGATCTGTTCAGTACCCGAGTGTGGGTTTAAGGCTTATGCTTTTGCCTCGCTGAGAGAGCTTCCGGGGAAGAAACTCCAGCATTCGTTTTGAGGCGCGCACCCCCAGACTCTCGAAAAGCCAACGGGGCTGACAGAGAAGCCCGCCACAGAGCCCTCTGGGAGAGGTAGTTCTGGGGCGAGAGGCACCCTGGGAAATGGAGTTCTGCGCGCCCTCTTCCGCGGTCCGCGGTGAGGCTCTCAGCGCCCGCGCCCCAGCGGGAGGGGGCGGGGCGGGGGGGACCTCGGTGTCCCCGCGGCCCCGTGGGGACAGCGTTCGGGGCCAGTGCGGTGTGGGGCGGTCCGTTGGGATCGGAGATGCCGAGGGGCGGAGGACTCCGGGTCGCGGGCGGCGGACGCCGCGCGCCGCGGGTCTTGCCGCGTGGAGAGCGGCCGCGGGAGACGGCGAGTGCGGAGGACTGCTGAGGGGCCTGCGGGGGTCGGGGACTGGGTCAGTTTAGGAGCCGGGCCCCTAGGGCTGAGGGCTGGCGGGAGAGGGGACAGTGGAAGGGGTGTTCCGGGGAGTGCAGTTGCGGTGGGTGGTCGCGCGCCTGCAGGGCGGCGTTGTGGGGGTCTGCACTGGGGGGAGCGCCGGGGGCCCGCAGGCTGGCTGGTCTGCAGGTGCCGGGGTGTGGACGTCCGCGGTCTGGACTCGGGGTGCCTGCAGTGACCCGGGCAGCCGTGAGGCGAGGAAACTGGGTTCCTGGTGGGGTTGGTGCCGGCCAAGTGGACTGTGCTGCTTGGCGGGACCGCGAGGTTGAGTGTCCGCGGGTGACCGACTTGTGGATTGCTGGGGCCTGCTAGAGCGCTGCGAGTGGGGGGACATTCCCGGAGGAGGATCTTCTCCTTCAATCTGTTACTGAGCCTTAGCGGGGAATGGCTTGGAGGCCGCGGGGGGGGGGGGGGGGGGGGGGGGGGGGGGGGGCGGGGGGGGGGGGCGGCACCCGGGGGGCGGGGGGGGGGGGGGGGGGGGCGCGGGGTGTGGGCGGGAGGTGAGGATTAGGAGTGGGAGGGGGGGGGGGGGGTCTGGGAGTTGCTGTGTGTGTCGCCAGCCACAGGCTCGTGAGGGAGTGAGTGTGGGATGTCCGTTTACCTCAGTGACTGCGGAAGCGGAGAGCCCCAGGGCTCCCCGGGGAATCAGGATTAGGGTGGCTGGTGGGAGAGGAACTGGGGATGATTGAGTGGTTGGGGAGGCCCGGGTGTCCATCATCACAAGAGTCCTTGGGTGCCTGGCTGGCTCAGTGGGTAGAGCCGGGACTCCATCTTGGGGTCCTGAGTTCCAGTCCTGGGTCGCGTAGAGCTTGCCTTAGAAACCAAAGAGAATAGTGACTGTGGAACTGTGGGGCGAATGATTTGGTAGCTTGGGGGTGGAAGTCAGACATTGGTTGACATTTGGCTGTAACTGGGGGGCCCTGGGGTTGACTGGGGACAGAATAGGTTTGGGCGACTGGGGAGACATTTTGTGGGGAGACTCCCAACTGGTCATCAGGAAGCGTGGGGGTTAGTCAGTGTGAGGGTGAGTGAGGGAGTTGACGGTGTAAGTGACCCGGTTGTGGGAGTTAGTGATGGCCCAGCAGTGTCTGAGCGACCGGGACTTGCAGAGCTCGCCGGAGCGTGACTGGTGGTGTAGGTGATGAAGGGCTGTGGGGCTGGCTGGGAGGTCTTCGAGGCTCATGACTGCGTGGCCCTGGGGGTCAGTGATTGAAGACTGGGGATGCCGGCATACTGGATATTGGTTGAGAGCAGACTGGACAACCTGGTATAACCAGGTCTGTGCTTATAATTGTGGGTCTGAAAGTGGGTTTACTGTATAGCCTAAAAGGCAGTTTAAAAATGTAAGACTTCAGATCCCATCTTTGTAATATCAGCATGGTTTCCACCACCTATGAGAGACGTACCTTTGAAGTAGTGGCATTATTGATAATAATTGTTATCGATAAGAATTTTCCGATTTCTCTGTAATCACGTCACGTGATAATAAGAGCACTAACTAGCATTTACTCAATGTTTATGTGCCAGTCATAGTTCTGAGGTATTTACGTGTATTAACTCCTGTAGAATTCTCAAGAACATCATGAGCTTCAAATGAACAACTTGTATTTTGAGGAGAAGCTCTGCTGAATTACTCGTTTCATCAGCTGCTGAATTCAGTTTCCTCTTTTCTTTATGCCTTTACTTAAAAGCGAACGTGATGTTCTTATTTTCTGTGGGCTCTATATTACACACTCGCGCGGTCTCTCTTTCCCTTCCCCATTTCGAGAGAGAACGAGTGCTTGGTGGAATGCTGCTACTAAGGGGGTGGGGTTCCTTCTGCATACCCCCTATTGAGTCCTTGTGAGGTCTGTGTAGAGCCTATAGAAAACCCACTCTGAGCTTTAAATGCAGGTGAGTTTCCAACAAGAGAGGGGTATTTGCATCAACTAAAGAGAGTTTGTTACCCGACTCTACAGATTTTGGTTTCCGTGGACTAATTGGCTTGTCTGAGATAAAGAAATCTGTGGAGCAAGGGTCCTGGGTGAAGAGAATCCTGATCCGAGACCTTTAATTTGAGCATCAAGATAAGAATCCAGAAGATACGCAGAGCCTACAGTTCTCCCGAGAGCAGCAGAAAATGACCAAGTCCCAGGTGAGTAATTCATTTATTTCCTCGATTGTGGTTCCGTACAATTCGCCCATTTTAAGTGAACAATTGACTGTTTGTTGATGGTGGTTGTTTTTCAGTAAGTTTAGAGGCTTCTGCAACCATCTAATTGTTCAGCCACAATCTAAATTTAGCATATTTTCATCCTCCAGAGGCGCCTAGTGGCTCCGCCTTCAACTCAGGTCATGATCTAGGGCCCTGGGATCTAGTCCCACTTCCGGCTCCCTGCTCAGCGGGGAGTCTGCTTCTCCCTCTCCCTCTGCCTGCTCTTAGCCCTGCTTGTGCCTTCTCTCTCTCTCTTTCTGTGAAATAAATAAAATCTCAAAAAAATACGAAAAGGACATTTTCATCCTCCTAAAAGGAAACCCCATCTCCGTAGCAGGTAATCCCCAGGGCCCCCACCCCAGCTCCAGGCCCCAGCTCCTGGGTTTGCCCATTCTGCCCATCTCATATCCACAGGATCACATGCTATGGGGTCTTTTGTGACTGGCTTCTTTCATGTAGCCTGCTTTTAAGATGGGCCATGAATTAATACTTTATTGTCT